TAGAGATTGTATTGGTTATAGCTTGCTACAATCGAATGAAGACTGCTGCAACATTCTGTAAGGTCGAATGATGATCCTAGAGAGTCTTAACTCTGGCATCACAAGGCCTTTCTTAATCACTTATAGGAAAAAGCAGAAGTTGTAGCTGCCTGCTACATGACTCAGGCCACTTCATCACATTCCCCTCAGGGATCAAAATAATTTAAAGTTCTATTAGCTTTAAGTTCGAATTATTTAATTCACATTTCCCCTTTTTATTAAGATCTTCCTGGGAATATATTGTAGACAAACTCAGATAGTTTGGCTACTTTCATGTTCAGGAACCTAGTCACACATCACCAGGAAGGCTTACTCTTAGAGAGTCAAGTCCCACATTTCAGGGAATATTCAGACTGTACAGCTAATTGGGTATATGCTGAATTTAGAGCAAAATGAAGGAGTTGACCTTTTGAGTTAAGCCAGGATACATGGCTGCATCTTCAAATAATGCGATTCATTAAGCAACCATTATTATAGTTTTATTTTCAATTGTGCAAACTGTTGCAAACAAATGTTGCGGAAGCAGTAAAGATGAAAACAAGGTTAAAACACAATAAATGACTTTAATTTCTAGAACAGGTTCTGCCACCAGTTTACCAAAGATCCAAACCAGCTACTCAGCCCATCATTCATAGAGCATATTAGATGAAAAAAGCTGGTTATTTGGTTTTTCATATCAGCCATTAATTTAGTGATGCTATTCAATTCATCTGGAATATAGGCAAAACACTAATTTTTTTATGATAGCACTGTATTCCCTTTGGGCTGTAGTACGTCTAAAGCCATATGTTCTAAAATACAGCCTTTCTAATATGAGCAACTTAATTGTTTAATAAAAAGATAACCATGTAGCTGTCATTTGTGGCCTTTTTTGTGTAATTGGTTAAGGCCTCTAAATGCCAAATGACATCCTCGATATTCAGTTATAGCAGAAAGATGGAAGCTAAATGAGCATATCAATGGAACACAGAAAAAGTGCAATGAAATTGTAAATAAGGAAAATTTGCAGGTTTTGAAAAGGTATGAACTATTTAACGTTGTGCCCAGACATAACCCAAAGAATATATTCTTACAATACTTGGAGTAACCATGGCCATGGATTGGTTCTACGCAGCCGAAATGTTCCATTCAGAGCTAGCCAATAAATATACAGCTGTTGTGCCCATTTAGTGGTATACAAATCAGTATTTTGTAATACAATGATGTGGATACTCTGTTTCTCGGGTGTCTGTCCCACATATTTAGTGCTGTTGGATCATGTATCTTTGGTGTGGTTCTTTGTTCCCAATGAAAACGAATGAGCTAAGCTGACCAAAAGAGGAGATAAGCCAGACAAAACTGTCCCAATTTTTTAAAATAACATTTCAAAATTGAATTGTCTTGTTTCTCAGTTGGGACAGTGCTAACATTAAACCTAATGAATTGGCTACCAAAAATCTCTTCCTACGTCCCTTACTTTGTAAAGTATTATTAATAAGTCAGTGTTTTATAGCATTCTTGGCTATGCTTGTTTTAAGCACCAATGACTTTTCATAGGTCTGTCTTTTATAATTTTATATAGCAACAGCCAGTGTTTACCAGAATGGGTTGATTTTAACTTAAGCAAAACCAATTAAAGAGCTTTGGGAAAGGAATTTTAAAAGCCTCAGTTAATTTTGCCAACTGTGCTTTGATTATTCCACTTGTGTATTCTACTAAATCAGATGACTGAAGGTGATATTCACAGTGAAAATGTTAGAGAATGGGCCAGATTTTCCATATTAACTAAATTATTTTTGCAGTGAAATGATTATTTCTGTCATGATGAATTTCTACAGGAGTTCCCAAAGTTGGAATAATTGTTTCTAAGATAACTTTACTTGCCACTATCATTGTTGCTCTTCTGAATGAAAATGCTTCTAAAAAATAAGAAAACTCAAATAATTATTGGAATGTACTTGTATCATTGTGATAGTGGCATAAAATGGATAAAATCAAATTGCCATACCTTGACAGGGCTTTCAGAACAAAGAGACGACCTTGAAATCCATGTAAAATTTTCCTATATTATGATTTGGACAGATGTGGCAAAAATCGTATGCCTTACAAGTAACAGTTAGTGAAGGCTTATAATTTTACTGGGGCTCCAATGACTTAAATCCTGTGCATAAGTTAGGAAAGATAACTAATTTGGTTTGAGGCATGGGTAGAACATTTAGTCCAAACCATAGCCCAGTCTCAAAGAACTATGTTCCTCCTTTTCTTTCCCAATTTTGTTCTGTTTTTGGATCTTTGGATTGAACTATTTTTTTTAATCAAAACCAAGTGCTTTTTTTAAAGCTAAAAGTACATTTATTTTCCTATCCAGATATTTTCATAGCAGTCATTTGGCTATATTATTTCCCAATTTATTTCATTTGCTTTCTGGAAGGTCAGACTTTGAATGGCTTATAATCTTGATAATGGGAATTGTTTTGGCAATAATATGCCTTCTAATAATTCTGAAACAAGTTATTCATTTTTTATGTACTGACTAAAAAAAGTTAAAATTTCTCTGTTTCCATAGCATTCCAAAGGCATTGGCGATCCAAAAACATATTTGCTGTATAAATATTAGCAGTTATTCTTTTAGCCAATTGATAAGTTCTAATTAATTCTGTTAACTCTATTTTTTTGAGCTGAGCTTGCTTCCCAAAGATAAACACATCTTCTTTCCTCAATTAAAGATTTATAGCATAAACAGTATGACAAACTCCAGATTTATTTTTCAAGTAAGATCCATATGTAAACTAAACAACATCAGTATTATTAGTAAGGGCAATTCTTTGTAGGTGAATCTTAGCAGTGAAAAGCTGTTTAATTAAAATTATTCAATCATGTGGCATTTTATCTGAAGGCAGAGGCAGAAGAGTGGTAGAATTCAGATGATTGCATCTGGAGATTAAAATATAGGGAGAATTAAGAAGAACTTCATAGGAAGCCAAACTATTAACTGAATCTATTTTATATATTTTTGTAGTAAAATATCACAGACACAACACATATAAACTGTAGGCATACTGACACACAGACAGAAGCAGGTCTTAGAGCTGTATGAGATTATTCAATTGTCAGTTTTTAGTTTCTCTCCCTTCTTTAGACTGTCAGCTTCTTCATTGCCTGTTCTGTTGCCCTAGATAATTGGCAGCTAGGCAACCCTAAATTTGCATTTCCAAATTTACTCTTCCAAATTTCACTCTTAGGTGAAAATGTATAGTCCAAAGTCACAGAACATAGATCTAAACACTATTCTTTGCTGAGACAAAGAAGGGCATATAGAACCAGTGAAGAAAAGATTGCCAGGAAAAGCATCCTAACCCAAGGTACGGCTTGTTATGTAAATTTTAAGCTTATGTCCTCCCCATAATAATCAACTTAGTGTGTTTCTTGATTAGATTACTGACTTCAGGCTAGAGCGCTTTAATGTATAGGGCAAGAAAAGCATGCTGTTTTCACTGCCTAATAATGACATATGTGAAAACCAGGTGTAGCTGGAAAGCAGACTACTTCAGTTACCTCATGGGAGTCTTTTCCCTCACTGGTGTGTTTTTTCATAGCTTCAATGTGTCCAAACCACACTTATCTATATGCACAAAGAAATAAGTAATAATCTACAGCAACAACCACTTATTGTAAATGCTGTCAGCCACCTCCAAACTGCAGCCCTTACCAGGTGGCTTGTCAGCAATTCACACCCACAGGTCAAGTTTTTTGAAAGAATAAAGTAATCACCATTAAGTCCAAAAGTCAAAGAGATCAGGGAAAGAGAACAGAGCTTTATAGCTGGGAGGAATCTTTCCATGACTCTCCAGACTCCACAAGAAAAAGAGAAGACTTCCAAAGGGATGTGTGGGGTTTTTTTTCTGTGCAGGTCTCAGGGCTGCTAGAAGTCTCTATATTTTTTGAAGTGGTATAAAAGATGGAGGAGCAGAAGTAGAATAAAATGGAATAACAAGTCTTATAGGAGACCAATTGGGAAGATCTTAAGCCTTCCAAAAGACAAAAATTATCTGTTTGGTACTATTGAATATTGAGAAATGACTAAGTAATTAATTGTTCTTGGATTCTGTGCAAATTTCCATCCTATACATTTGGTTTTCTTATCAGAAGGAGAAGAAGGTTAACTGGGATTGCACAACAAATACTCAAGCCTCTTATTATCTAACCCAAAACTCTAGATTTTACTCTCTCCAAAGCCTCTGATTTTAGAGGGTAATACTTAAATTTTAGAAGACATTTTGATAAATGTATTTGAATTTTTATTGGAGCAGCTAGAATAATTTTTCCAATATTGGTGGAGAGTTTTGACAACAGTTAATTAAGTACTATCTTTAACAGCTCCTGTAATTCTTCATTATTTATCAATGTAGTTTCCTCCATGGTGATATAAATTGTAATTTTCAAATTAAGAGAATCAGATTTTGAAAAAAATTGTACTCGTAGTTCTATTTTATTTTCTAATTCTAAATATGTTTCCCCCTTTTGAGAGAGGAACAAATGGAAAATATATTGTTCTAAGAATATTTTTTCTGTCAAATGGATAGGGCCAGAGGGAGTCAAGAGGAAACCATTTGTTCTCAGTAGAGAACCTAATTTAAAAACTATAGATTCAGATTTACGTGCTGTTAGAGGAATATTCGTTACACTCACCATCCGTATTGGTTTTGTTTTACCCGGAGGATTAGGACCTTATAGTAAGGTGGGATTTATTTCTGATAACGTAGCTCCAGTGTCAATAAGAGTTTCTCTTTGTTTTTTATTTAAAATAGTTACAATTTATCTTAAGGTATTGGTATTAGTGAGAAGAGGGAAGGTCCCTTTGATTTCCTCAGAGCACCCCATTTTTTCTTTTCTTTTTTTTAAGAGTTAAAATTTGCAGTGTTTCTAAGGGGAAGAAAATGTCACCTAGAAAGTATTACAAAGAAAGATTAAATTTGTCAGCTGTCTAAACACGATAAGACCACATGCTTTATACAGCGGCAATGCAGTCAAGTCCGCTTCTCCACACCGGGACAGGCCTCCTCCGCAGAAGGTGGCTGAGGAAGGCAAGGGAGCGCTAGGAGGCCTGCTGCTTCTGAAGCCTCCATTCCGTGGTGGCAGCCAGCATCCTTCGAGGGTGGCGGGGTCGGAGGACGCACCATCTGAGGCAAGGAAGCTCTCTGAGGCTACGTCATATTCAGAACTTTTGTTCAAGAAACGCTTGCGAGCCTGCTGGAGGAGCTCATCCTTACGCTGCACCAGCATGCGCTGTCTCTCATCAGCAGACCTGAAGAAGTGGCTCCCACGGGCCTCGAAGTCTTCAACCTCGCTGAGCTCCATTTCCAACTCACCAAAGTCCAGTGTCTCCTCCAGGTGAGGATTGAGGTCCAGCGGCACACACTCGGTCTGAGCAGAAGTTTCTCCCTCTTCCTGGTCACTGCTTGGCCTTTCCACGGAACTGTTCAATGCAGGTCTGATACTATCTGACCGCTGTGTAGGAAAAGGTACTTGGATCTGTCCTTCTAAAATGTTGTCTGTTGTTATTTCCACTGAGCGTGTCAGCTGGAGGTCCTGCAGCACTAGATGGTATGGAACCTGGGGAAACATCTCTTGAATCTGATGAACCATTGCATTGAGCTGGGAGTTGCTGGCCTGCATAATGCCAATAATGTTAGTTGTGTGCATCACTTCAACTGAAAAACTCGGCAGCCAGCTCGCAATCCGAGACCCATCGAAACGGAAGAAGTGATTATGTTGGTTTAAGCGAGGTCTCCCTTCGGCTGCTGCTACAGGAACCAAATTCTCATCCAAGTTCTCTCCTTGATGGTCTTCCCTGACACGATTATTGTTGGCGATATTAAGAGACATTCTGCATGTTGGACAGGAGGTGTCTTGTCCTAGCCAGGAACGAAGAGAGGAGTTGTGGAAGAGATGTCCACAGGGCAGTTTCCGTGCAGCCTGCATGGAGTCCCAGGAATGGCACAGTCGTCATTGTTGACAGCCAGCCCCTCTGGAGTTGCAACTGCAAACCTGGTCTCCATGTTCCCAACCACACGCAGAGAGTTCTGGTGCCGACGAATTCGACGCTGCACCTGATGAAACAGGTAACGCAACTGCATAAAGATGACCAGGCTGGCCATGGATAACCAGATGTTGCCAAATAACAACATGTGAATGTGGTGCATGAGGTCCAGGAACAAGAGAGTGAGCTCCATGATGAAATCTGTGTAATAGACGTATGTCCCCTTTCCTTCCCACGTCCCTTTGTGGTTGAGGTCCCAGAGGTGAATTACATACCGTAAAATCAAATGAGCAGTCCTCACTGTCTCAAGAAGAGACTCTGCAGCCATGAAAGCCAAGGTGTGCATTCCATGGGTGTAGCCAGTGATGCAGCAAACAGCCGCCAGTCCACAGCAGGAAAGCAGCACGGCAACCAACAGAGACGGGACTCGACCATGGCTGCTCATAGGTGTGGTGGGCGAGAAGGAAAGATACTCAAATTGATCCTTGCAGAGCTGAACCATCAGGTGCAGAAAGACAAGTCCAGCAAACGAGAGGCACCACATGACAACCTCTTCCACAGTCTGGACATTCAGCACACCAAAGATGAAAATGAACTTGTAGAAAATAAAATTCCAAAATTTGTCTTTGAGATGCTCTCTCTCACTCACCCGAAGAGGGCCAAACATAATACACTAGATGAACTTAGCCGCCGCTGCCGCCGCCCCCAGCGGGACGCGGCCCATTTTTTCTTTTCATTGGCCTGTTGTTCTTTCTGTATAAATTTCTACAATCCTTCTTGAAATATCTAGACCTTTAATGGATAATTTACACTTAAAAATTAGTTGGATAATTGTTCTAGTTGTAAACTTATTTGCTCTTTCTCTCTGTTTAGCTTCATTTTCCTTTTCTTCCATAGTCAGAGTATGAAAAATTTGATTGTTAAAATTAACTATGCCATGAGTTTGAGACGTAGACCAACTGGGGGATTGTCTCTTTATTGTAATTACCAATTACTTATCTATTTTAAAAACAAAGTTGGAGTTAAGGAGTTAAGGAGAGCATCATTTGGCGGTTGGCATGAATTTCTTCGGATAAGCATAAATATTGCTTAAACATCTTTTCAAATTTTTCATAGTATGACATCATAGGCTTATCAATATTCTGTCAGCATTGTTTAATTTTGTTCTAATCAGTCACTTTTTGTAAAACTAAAGGGATAGTGTCTAGTAAAGCTTTGACAGTACTGTGGGCTCATTCATTATTTGCTTCAGAAACGTTATGTAAGTCCTCTAAAAAATTTTCCCAGTTTGTCTTTGCAAACCAATCTTTGGCTTTACTTTCTGATACTAACATGTAAACCAACTAACATAAGTCAGATAATTAGGTCTGGTGCAGTGGCTCACGCCTGTAATTCCAGCACTTTGGGAGGCTGAGGTAGGTTGATAACCTGAGGTTAGGAGTTCAAGACCAGCCTGACCAACATGGTGAAACACCAATTCTACTAAAATTACAAAAAAATTAGCAACTGTAATCCCAACTATTGGGAGACTGAGGCAGGAGAATAGCTTTATCCTGGGAGGCAGATGTTGCAGTGAGCCAAGATTGTGCCACTGCACTTCAGTATGGGGAATAGAGTAAGACTCCATCTTAATAAAAAAAAATCAGATAATCCGAATCTTAAACTTAAATGTTTAAATCAAAATCTTTATTAAATCTAGTAGGGTTATGAAGAGAATCAGATAATTTTTAAGTACATTTTTAAGTTCTACTTTTAACCATGGTTGATAAATCAAGGTAAGTTCTCTTCTACTGGATGCAGGTGTTCCTGAAATAAAGTCAGAAAAGCAGAAGAAGAAAGAGGAGGCAAAAGGGGAATAAGTCCAGACAGAAAAGTTTTGACAATGGAGGACAAAGCGAAGCATCAGCTGACGGAGGAGAATAAATTTCAATAGTCTTTTCAATTCAGAAATTGTTTTAGACAATTTTTTTTCTTTCTGCAAAGACTTTATCAGACCTCTTTTAGATGCTTCTAAGTACAATTGGAAATATCTGTGTCAATTATTGTTATTTTTTTAGGGCTGGTTTTATCTAATTGAGCAAATATGCTAGTTTAAGTCTTTCAAAGGCATTCCATTTTGGCCACTATGATTTGGGATTATTGCAAATTATGCATGACTAGTTTTCTAAGTACTTACATGAAGAGGCACCATAAGTATTAAATATGAATCTAGCTGATATTTCTAGTGGAGGATCTCTCCTTAAGGAGGAAGTCTAGGTTTTAGATGGACAGCTGCCCATAATTTAGATTTACCTCTTTAATGACCAAAAGATTTAGATGGAGGTGTCTTGGATTGAGTGTGCTGCCTCCAGAAATAGCTCCTCAAGGAAATAGAGTCAGTTCCTTCTCTTTTTGTGTCTTGATATCCCAAGAAACTTGGGCGCTTAATGCACAAGATAATCAGCCTTTATTCATGCCCACCATATTAAATAAGGTTTTCTATATAATCTACTGAAGGGATTACTTATGAGACTATTTCACATCACAAGCATTGAGCTCGAACACTTCCACAAGAACTCGATCACCTAAGGTGCCTTTTGGCCAGGAGAAACAGTGTCTCTCATTTTGGTGACTTATGATTTTCCTCATAAAGAGCATTCTGTTCACTTAAGAAGAAAGTTTAGATTTTTCAATAGAACCAAGCTTCAGAATATGGCCAATTTTAAAGATTACAGATTTGCTTAAACCACAAAGATTCACTTACATCTTTCAAAGAGAAACTGTCTTCTCCTTGACCAAAATTTTAAATAAGGGAAAATATTATACAAACTACGAGTAATTCAAAACAAAATCTTAACCTCATGGGAAAGTAAAAGTTACAAATGTACAGTTAGCAGAATTTCTAAAGAAACAGAAACAAAACTCTAACCTGTCAGTCAGTAAAGTTTCAATTGCAATCTTGTTGAGTTAGGAATGTATATAGCACAAAAAATTATAAATTTCATTTGAACTGTGAGGCTTGAACCCCTGAGAGAAGCCTTTCCAAAGATTGTTTTGGATTCTGGCAAGGTCGGGTGAATAAAAGTAATTTGTGTTGGTGTCAGGGCTCCAGTTATCTGCTTGATTAGTTCTATTATAAAGAGACACTGGGGAAGGGGGCCAAGATGGCCAATTAGAAGCAACTGTTGTTCATGGCACTCATGGTGACGAATAAAAGAGGAGTGTAAATACAGCACCTTCAACTGAAATATCCAGGCTCTCACATTGGGAATGATTAGGCAAACAATTTGACACATGGAGAAGAAATCAAAACAGAGTGGAACAATAGCCTAGCTGAGAGAAACATAGAGCCAAGGAAACCCACACTTACAGCCAAGGAAAGTGGTATGGGAGAAACTGAGGCAACTAGGGTCTGGAATAGATCCGCAGCAAACCAAAGCAGCCCTGCAGAATAGTAGCCAGACTGTTAAAAGAAAAACAAACAAATAGAAAACAACAACAAACACAAAAACTCCATCAAAAAGAGAGCAACCTTGAAGATTAAAGGTATATAAGCCCAGAAATATAAGAAAGAACCAATGAAAAAACACTGAAAACTCAAAAAGCCAGAGTGCCCCTTTATTCCAGATGACCGCAACGCCTCTTCAGCAAGGGCTCAGGTCCAGGCTGAGGCTGAGATAGCTGAAATTACAGAATTAGGCTTCAGAAGGTGGGTAATGCCAAACTTTGCTGAAGTAATGGAACATGTAGTAACCCAATGCAAAGAAGCTAAGAATTATGATAAAACAATACAGTAGCTGAAAGTCAGAACAGCCAGTTTAGAGAGGACCATAACTGACCTGTTAGAGCTGAAAAACACACTATGACAACTTCAGAATGCAATCACAAGTATTAGTAGCAGAATAGACCACAAAAAGGAAAAAAATCTCAGAGCTTGAAGACTATCTATCTTTCTGCAATAAGATAAGTAGATAAGACTAGAGAAAAAAGAATCAAAAGTAATAATGAAAACCTCAAAGAAATATGAGATTATGTAAAGAGACTGAATAAATGAATGATTAGGGTACCTGTAGTAGATGGGGAGAATGGAACCAAGTTTGAAAACATACTTCAAGATATCATGCAGGACAACTTCCCCAAGGTAGCAAGACAGGCCAACTTTCACATTCAGTAAATGCAGAGAACACCAGGAAGATACTTCATGAGAATATAATTCCCAAAATCACGTAAACATCAGATTCTCAAAGGTCTAAATGAAAGAAAAAATGTTAAGGGCAGCCAAAGAGAAAGGCCAGGTTACCTACCTCCAAAGGGAAGCCCATCAGACTAACAGTGGACATCTTTTTTTTTTTTTTTTAAGAAAGAAAGAAAGAGAAAGTGGGAGAGAGAACAAGAGTCTTACTCTATTGCCCAGGCTGGAATGCAATCCAAAAATAGGTAACACAAACCTCCTTTATGCCGACAATTGTGCTTAACAGTGGAGACAGGAAGAAATAAGGGAAGAAAATAACAACAACAACAAAAAACCCAGCCAACCAATATTTCATTTAAGTCTGTGAAATGCTATGCAATGCTGAAGAGTGATTTGCTTCCAATTATGTGGTCACTTTCAAAATAGGTGTAATGTGATACTGAGAAAAATGTATGTTCTGTGGACCTGGGGTAAAGAATTCTATAAATATTCACTGAGTTTACTTGTTCCAGGTCTGAGTTCGAATCATAGATGTCCCTGTTAATTTTCTATCTCATTGATCCGTCGAATATTAACAATGTGGTGTCAAAGTCTCCCCCTATTATTGTGCTGAAGTCCAAGTCTCTTTACAAGTCATCAAGAACTTGTCTTATGTATCTGGGTGTTCCTATATTGGGTGCATATATATTTATGATCATTGATTCCTGTTGTAGCATTGATCCTTTTGCCATTATGTAATGTCTTTCTTTCTTTCTTTCTTTCTTTCTTTCTTTCTTTCTTTCTTTCTTTCTTTCTTTCTTTTCTTTCTTTCTTCTTTCTTCTTTCTTTCGACAGAGTTTCACTGTTGTTACCCAGGCTGGAGTGCAATGGCATGATCTCAGCTCACCGCAACCTCTGCCTCCTGGGTTCAAGCAATTCTCCTGCCTCATCCTCCCAAGTAGCTGGGACTACAGGCACGCACCACCATGCCCAGCTAATTTTTGTATTTTTAGTAGAGACGGGGTTTCACCTTGTTGACCAGGATGGTCTCAATCTCTTGACCTCGTGATCCACCTGCCTTGGCCTCCCAAAGTTCTGGGATTATATGCATGAGCCACCACGCCCAGCCTTCTTTGTTTGTTTTAATATTTGTTACTGTTAAAGTCTATTTTGTCAGAGACAAAAGTTACAGCTCCTGTTTTTTTTTTTTTTTTTGCTTTCTATTTGATTGATAAGTCATCCACCAACCCTTTGTTTTGAGTTCTTGTGTGTCTTTGCTTATGATGTGGATCTGGATACAGTGTACCAATGAGTTTTGACTTTTTATTCAATTTGCCTGTCTGTGTCTTTGATTCAGGCATTTAATCCATTTAAATTTAGGATTAATATTGATATTTGTGAGTTTAATGTTGTTTAATGCTCGCTGGCTATTTTGCCCATTAGTTGATATAGATTCTTCATTATGGAGATACTCTTTACCTTTTGGTAAATTTTTGGGATGACTGATACTGGTTGATCCTTTCTGTGTATAGTGCTTCTTTCAGAAGCTCTTGTAAAGCAGGCCTGGTGGTGACAAAATCTCTGAGTGCTTGCTGGTTTGCAAAAAATTTTATTTTTCCTCCATTTATGAAGCTTAGTTTGGCTGGATATGAGATTCTGGGTTGAAAATTCTTTTCTTTGAGGATATGAAATATTGACCTCTACTTTCTTCTAGTTTGTAGGGTTTCAGCTGAGAGATCTGCTGTGAGTCTGATAGGCTTCCCTTTATGGGTTACCCGGCCTTTCTCTCTAGCTGCCCTTAGAATTTTCTCCTTTATTTCAACCCTGGTGAATCTAACGATTATGTGCCTTAGGGTTGCTCTACTTGAGGAACATCCTTGTGGTGTTCTCTGTATTACCTGAAGTTGAAAACTGTCCTGCCTTACTAGGTTAGAAAAGTTTTCCTGAATAATATCCTGAAGAATATTTTCCAGCTTGGATTCATTCTCTTGATGACATTCAGGTACACCTATCAAATGTAAATTAGGTCTTTTCACATAGTCCCATATTTCTTGCAGACTTTGCTCATTCCTTTTTACTCTTTCTTCTCTAATCTTGTCTTCTCATTTCATTTCATTAAGTTGGTCTTCAACTTCTGATATCCTTTCTTCTGCTTGATCAATTCGACTGTTAAAACCTGTGCAGAGGGACTCAAGATGGCGCTGTGAGAACAACCCAGGATTGGAGTTCTCATTGTGTCTGCGGAGAGGTGAGTCTGAGCTGCATTTCCAGACTGATCTTTGTTACTCACGGAATGGGGAAATTCCCAAGTGAAGAGGAGACGCGGGACGCCAGGCAGATATTATGCCTGGAGAAGCCGGCAGCCAGGGTGGTGGCGGACGGCCCTACCCAGCGCTCCCCACAGGGTGCACTTGTCCAGGTGCCCCGTTGACCCGGCAACTGGAGATGTGAGAGGGCTGGACGTGAGACTGAGCTAGACTTGAACAGTGGGCCAGCCCAAGGGATTGCAGGAACAGAGCATTAGGATTGGCCCAGTGGGACGAACAAAACCGCGATTTCAAACAAGCCCCGTGCAGACGGCCCGAGACGCTCTGGGGGGGGGCGGCCACCATTACCGGGGTAACCCGCCCCAACTGAGATACACGCCCATTGCTGACGCAGCCAGCTGTTGCCGAGGCAACCCGTCCCTACTGAGATACACGCCCACTGCTGACGCAGCCTGCCGTCACCGAGGCAACCCGCTACAACAGAGAGACTCCACCGCAGGGCGTGGTGGAGAACAGCAGAACAGCGGTGCCGGGGCGAGCCTCACAACAGCAGGGCGGAGCCTCGGAAGGCAAACAGTGGCTAGTCTGCATCCTAGTTGGGCAGGACCTCAACGGACATCTAAAAATAAAGCCCAAACCCCTCAACACAGCATTTGAGAAAAAAAAAGGGTTTTTTTAATGAGCTCTGTTGCAGCAGAATCAAACATAGCAGCCTAACAGCCCTGAATGAACAACACAGCTCACAGCTCAGCAATTAAACCCCTATAAAGTACAAACTGCCTCCTCAAGCAGCTCCCTGACCCCTCTATATCCAAAAGACTGACATTAGGCAGGCATCATCCTGGGACAAAGATAGCAGAAAAAGAAACTGGTAGCATCCCTCGCTGTGCCACAGCTGCTAGAGGTGCACCCCAGACAAGCAGGGTCTGGAGCGGACCTCAGCACTCGTACAGCGAAGGGGCTAGACTGGTAGAAGGAAAACCAAGCAACAGAAATACTTCATCATCAACATTCAGGGTGTCCACTCAGAGACCCAATCGAAAAGTCAGCAACTACACAGACGACCAGCGGACAAATCCACAAAGATGGGAAGAAACCAGCGCAAAAAGGAGAAAACACCCCCCCGAAACCGGAACACCTCGCCTCCTAGAAAGGACCAAAACTCCTCACCAGCAAGGGAACAAAGCTGGACGGAGAATGACTGTGATGAAATGACGGAATTAGACTTCAGAAGATGGATAATGAGAAACTTTTGTGAGCTAAAATATCATGTATTAAATCAATGCAAAGAAACTAAGAACCTTGAGAAAAGATTTGAAAAAAGATTTGAGGAAATGATAACAAGAATGGATAACTTAGAGAGGAATATGAATGAATTAAAGGAGCTGAGAAACACAATATGAGAACTTCACGAAGCATGCACAAGTTTCAATAGCCGAACTGACCAAGCAGAAGAAAGAATATCTGAAGTCGAAGACCAACTCAATGAAATAAACGAGAAACCAAGATTAGAGAAAAAAGTGCAAAAAGGAATGAACAAAGTCTCCAAGAAATGTGGGACTATGTAAAAAGACCTAACCTACGTTTGATAGGTGTACCAGAAGGGGACGAAGAGAATGAATCCCAGCTGGAAAATACTCTTCAGGACATCATCCAGGAAAATTTCCCCCACCTAGCAAGACAGGCCAACACTCAATTGCAGGAAATACAGAGAACACCACAAAGATATTCCGCAAGAAGAGCAACCCCAAGGCACATAATCGTCAGATTCAACAGGGTTGAAATAAAGGAGAGAATACTAAGGGCAGCCAGAGAGAAAGGTCGGGTCACCCACAAAGGGAAGCCCATCAGACTCACAGCAGATCTCTCAGCAGAAACACTACAAGCCAGAAGAAAGTGGGGGCCAATATTCAACATTCTTAAAGAAAAGAAATTTCAACCCAGAATTTCATATCCAGCCAAACTGAGCTTCAGAAGTGAAGGAAAAATAAAATCCCTTGCGAACAAGCAAGTACTCAGAGATTTTGTCACCACCAGGCCTGCTTTACAAGAGCTCCTAAAAGAGGCACTACACATAGAAAGGATCAACCAGTACCAGCCATTCCAAAATCACACTGAATGCTAAAGAGCATCAACATAATGAAGAATCTACAACAACTAACAGGCAAAACAGCCACTTAGCATCAAAATGGCAGTATCAAATTCACACATAACAATATTAACCCTAAATGTAAATGGACTAAATGCACCAATCAAAAGACACAGACGGGCAAATTGGATAAAAATGCAAAACCCATCAGTGTGCTGTATCCAGGAAACCCATCTCACATGTAAGGATACACAAAGGCTCAAAATAAAGGGATGGAGGAAGATTTACCAAGCAAATGGAAAGCAAAAAAAAGCAGGAGTTGCAATTCTCATCTCCGATAAAATAGACTTTAAAGCAACAAAGATCAAAAGAGACAAAGAAGGCCATTACATAATGGTAAAAGGATCGATACAACAAGAAGAGCTAACTATCCTAAACATATATGGACCCAATGCAGGAGCACCCAGATACATAAGGCAAGTTCTTAAGGACTTACAAAAGGACTTAGACTCTCACACAATAATAGTGGGAGACTTTAACACTCCACTGTCAATACTAGACAGATCTACCAGACAAAAAATCAACAAGGATATCCAGGGCTTGAACTCAGACCTGGAGCAAGCAAACCTGATAGACATTTACAGAACTCCCCACCCCAAATCCACAGAATATACATTCTTCTCAGCACCACATCACACCTACTCTAAAATTGACCACATAATTGGAAGTAAAGCACTGCTCAACAAATGCAAAACAACTGAAATCATAACAAACAGCCTCTCAGACCATAGTGCAATCAAGTTAGAACTCAGAATTCAGAAACCGACCCAGAACCGCACAGCTTCATGGAAACTGAACAACTGGCTCTTGAATGTTGACTGGGTAAACAACGAAATGAAGGCAGAAATAAAGAAGTTCTTCGAAACCAACGAGAACGAAGACACAACGTGCCAGAACCTCTGGGACACATTTAAAGCAGTCTCTAGAGGAAAGTATATAGCAATAAGTGCCCATATGAGGAGAATGGAGAGATCCAAAATTGACACCCTATCGTCAAAATTGAATGAGCTACAGGACCAAGACCAAAAAAACTCAAAACCCAGCAGAAGACAAGAAATAACTAAGATCAGAGCTGAGCTGAAGGAGATTGAGACACAAAAACCCTTCAAAAAATCAATAAATCCAAGAGCTGGTTTTTAGAAAAGATCAACAAAATAGACCACTAGCCAGATTGATTAAAAATAAAAGAGAGAACAACCAAATAGATGCAATAAAAAATGATAAAGGGGAAATCACCACAGATTCCACAGAAATTCAAACCATCATCAGAGAATATTACAAACAACTCTATGCACATATACTAGTAAACCTGGAAGAAATGGACAAATTCCTGGATTCCTGTGTCCTCCCAAGCCTAAACCAGGAGGAAGCTGAAACTATGAATAGACCAATAACAAGGTCTGAAGTTGAGGCAGCAATTAAGAGCCTACCACACAAAAAAAGCCCAGGTCCAGACGGGTTCACAGCTGAATTCTACCAGACACACAAGGAAGAGCTGGCACCATTTCTTCTAAAACTATTTCAAACAATCCAAAAAGAGGGAATCCTTCCCAAATCATTTTATGAGACCAACATCATTCTGATACCAAAACCTGGCAGAGAGCCAACAAGAAAAGAAAACTTCAGGCCAATATCCATGATGAACATAGATGCAAAAATCTTCAATAAAATATTGGCAAGCCGATTGCAACAGCAAATCAAAAAACTTATTCATCATGATCAAGTAGGATTCATCCTGGGGATGCAAGGCTGGTTCAACATATGCAAGTCTATAAATGTAATTCACCACATAAACAGAACCAAAAACAAAAATCACATGATTATCGCAATTGATGCAGAGAAGGCATTTGACAAAATTCAACAGCCCTTTATGCTAAAAACCCTCAATAAACTCGGTATCGATGGAACGTATCTCAAAGTAATAAAAGCTATTTATGACAAACCAACAGCCAATATCATACTGAATGGGCAAAAACTGGAAGCATTCCCTTTGAAATCTGGCACTAGACAAGGATGCCCTCTTTCACCACTCCTATTCAATATAGTACTGGAAGTTCTAGCCAGAGCAATCAGGCAAGAAAAAGAAATAAAGGGTATTCAAATAGGAAAGGTGGAAGCCAAATTGTCTCTATTTGCAGACGACATGATAGTATACCTAGAAGACCCCATTGCCTCAGCCCAAAAACTCCTGAAACTGATAAGCAACTTCAGCAAAGTCTCAGGATATAAAATCAATGTGCAAAAATCACAAGCATTCGTCTCCACCAATAACAGACTCAAAGAAAGCCAAATCAAGAGCGAACTGCCATTCGCAATTGCTACAAAAAGAATAAAATACCTTGGAATACAACTCACAAGGAACGTAAGAGACCTCTTCAAGGAGAACTACAAACCACTGCTCAACGAAATCAGAGAGGACACAAACAGATGGAGAAACATTCCATGTTCATGGTTAGGAAGAATTAATATCGTGAAAATGGCTATACTGCCCAAAGTAATTTACAGAATCAATGCTATCCCCATCAAGCTACCATTGACTTTCTTCACAGAACTGGAAAAAACCACCATGAACTTCATATGGAACCAAAAGAGAGCCCGCATAGCCAAGTCAATTCTAAGCAAAAAGAACACAGCGGGGGGCATCACACTACCGGATTTCAAACTATACTACAAGGCTACAGTAATCAAAACAGCATGGTACTGGTACCAAAACAGAGATATAGACCAATGGAACAAAACAGAGGCACCGGGGGCAACACAACATACATACAACTATACAATCTTTGATAAACCTGACAAAAAGAAGCAATGGGGAAAGGATTCCATGTTTAACAAATGGTGTTGGGAAAACTGGCTAGCCATGTGCAGAAAGCAGAAACTGGACCCCTTCCTGACACCTTACACTAAAATTAACTCCAGATGGATTAAAGACTTAAACATAAGACCTGGCACCATAAAAACCCTAGAAGAAAATCTAGGCAAAACTATCCAGGACATAAGAGTAGGCAAGAACTTCGTGAACAAAACACCAAAAGCATTGGCAACAAAAGCCAAAATAGACAAATGGGACCTAATGAAACTCCACAGCTTCTGTACTGCAAAAGAAACAGTCACTAGAGTGGATCGGCAACCAACAGAATGGGAAAAAATGTTTGCAGTTTACCCATCTGACAAAGGGCTGATATCCAGAATTTACAAAGAACTCAAACAGATTTACAGGAAAAAAACAAACAAGCCCATTCAAAAGTGGGCAAAGGATATGAACAGATACTTTACGAAAGAAGACATATATGAGGCCAACAATCATATGAAAAACTGCTCATCGTCACTGATCATCAGAGAGATGCAAATCAAAACCACATTGAGATACCATCTCACGCCAGTTAGAATGGCGATCATTAAAAAATCTGGAGACAACAGATGCTGGAGAGGATGTGGAGAAAAAGGAACACTTTTACACTGTTGGTGGGAGTGTAAATTAGTTCAACCATTGTGGAAGACGGTGTGGCGATTCCTCAAGGCCTTAGAAATAGAAATTCCATTTGACCCAGCAATCCCATTACTGGGTATATATCCAAAAGTCTATAAATCGTTCTACTATAAGGACACATGTACACGAATGTTCATTGCAGCACTGTTTACAATAGCAAAGACCTGGAATCAACCCAAATGCCCATTGATAATAGACTGGATTGGAAAAATGTGGCACATATACACCATGGAATATTATGCAGCAATCAGAAATGATGAGTTTGTGTTGTTTGTAGGGACATGGATGAATCTGGAGAACATCATCCTCAGCAAACTGACACAAGAACAGAAAATGAAACACCGCATATTCTCACTCATAGGTGGGTGATGAAAAATGAGAACACGTGGACACAGAAAGGGGAGTATTAAACACTGGGGTCTATTGGGGGGAAAAGGGGAGGGCCAGTGGGAGGGGGTGGTGGGGAGGGATAGTCTGGGGAGAAAAGACAAATGTGGGTGAAGGGGAGAATAAAAGAGAGCACACTGCCATGTGTGTACCTACGCAACTGTCTTGCATGCTCTGCTCATGTACCCCCAAACCTATAATCCAATAAAAATTAAAAAAAAAAAAAAAAAAAACCTGTGCATACTTTGCAGAGTTCTCATATTGTATTCTTCAGTTCCATTAATTCACTTATATTCCTCTCTAAATTGTCTATTCTCATTAGGTCGTCAAACCTTTTTTTTTTTTTTTTTTTAAGTTTCTTAGTTTCTTTACATTGGGCTAGAACATGTTCTTTTAACTCAGAGACGTTTCTTGTTATCCACCTTCTGATGCCTAATTCTGTTAATGGAACACACTCGTTCTCCATCAGGCCTTATTCCCTTGTTGATGAGGAACTGTGATCCCCTGTAGAGGGAGAGACACTCTGATTTTGGGTATTCTCAGCACTTTTATCCTGGTTTCATCCCATAATTGTAAATTTATCCACCTGTCGTCTTTGTAATTACCGACTTTCAAATTAGGTCTCTGAGTGGACGTCCAGCTTGTTGATTCCCTGTGCTGGAATCTGAGCAACCCACTGTGCCAGGTAAAACAGTGGCATTAAAATTCATGGTGCTTTTCTGCCCAGGAATCTTTGGTCTGGCTTCCTTCTTGAGTCCCTTTTTCAATCAGCTGAATAGGCGACTCTGCCTTCCCGGAGCTCCAAATGTCGACCAAAAGGGGACGCAGTCTCGTTTACTCTGCACCAAGAACCACTGTGCTGGGGTGCCAGCAAAACTGCTGCACCAGCCACAAGAGT